CGAGAGGTGGTGTTGCCTTGGCCTTGTCTAGTGACCATAAGGTAACCGTTACTCCCTCCGTCGTTTTGTAATTTTATATATTTTTTTTATACAAAGGTAATTTGTTCATATTAATATAAAAGTAAAGTAGTTAAAATTTATTGAATCTTCATGAACGCATGAACGGAATTTATACCTAACTGTGTCTTACCACGATATGATTCTGCAGCTCGTCTCCATTGATTTAAACTAGTGTACATGCTACATTAAGTAATTATTAATTGAAATTATTGATAAACTCAGATTCCAGTTTTTAATTACTAATTAATGTAGCTGGTTGATGAAGGGAAATATTGTATATTGACACACACATAAATTCATAAGGAAAATACAGAAAATATTGTGTATGATTAAATTGAATTTAAGTCCTATATAGTATATACATACATAAAGACATTTAAGGCCAAAAGATATATACATACATAAAACCAAGTGTTTGTCTCCCAATAGTGTTCACTGATCTGAAGCCACGTTACGTTTGGCTCTCGTATGTGACAATGCAGCTAGCTAGCTAGCAAGAATATACTTGAGGATTGACTTTGTCCTCCGTATTATATATCAAGTAATTAGTAATTAATTACTGGAAATTTATACTAATCAGTATATATATAAATAATATATGTATAGCCTGAGAGAGTGGATGAGTTGAAGAGAATTGAAGCTGCGGGTGGAAAAGTCATCAATTGGAATGGAAACCGTGTTCTCGGGGTGCTTGCCACTTCCAGATCCATTGGTAAGTATATATATAATTGGGTACGTATTTGAAATTAATTTGTAACCTTTCACTGATTTAGTGATATATTGAAATGGTGCAGGTGACAAATACATGAGGCCATACGTGATATCAAAACCAGAGGTGACGGTGACGAAACGAACTGAGGAGGATGAATTCCTCATCCTTGCCAGTGATGGGCTGTGGGATGTTATATCGAACGAGGTGGCATGTAAGGTTGTGAACAAGTGCCTTGATGGAAGAATAAGGAGAATTTCCATACATGAGGAGGATCATCGTCATCATCATGTCCAAAGTCACAGTACGTCTGAGGCAGCAGCTGTCTTCATGCGTGATTTATCAGAGATAGTAAAACAGTGATATCCTCATTGCATATAAGTGTTTCTGTTGCATATAAGTGTTTCTGTTAGGACATTATTGAATTTGAGAAACCAAATGTGGTTTTTCTATTCAGAAGATCAGCTCCCTTATAGCTTTTGTTAAAGTATAGAGATGAATTTTGCATTTTTCTTAAAAACAATGGGCCGGGCCCGAAGGCAACACAGATGCATTTCGAGATTAGGGAATAATATTATGATTTCCTTCTTTTATGTTATGAACTTATGATAAGCTAGCTTTATAACATTAGCACTCTTTTTTTTTTTTTTCTTTTTTTTTTCATGAGCTAATTTCATGAGCAAAAGTTTAGGAGGAGATTGACTACTCTCACCACCAGCGTCAAAGCATATCCACAATCTTAAATTGAAAGAACTTACGCGTGGCACTCAACTGTCTGCCACCAATATGAATTTATGTAAGAGATTACTGATCATGCATCACTGAGAACTGCTAATAACGAGACTCAAATACTAATAAGACTACACACAATGCATGTATCTTACCAACTGAACCAACACTCATTCGCGTATAACATTAATACTTGAACATACTTATTATATTGATTGAGAACAAGTGCCAAAACAACCCTTTTCTATTATACACGCATGCATGATGCATCGCATCTCCACCACATTTCAGTACTTTGTTTAAATAAAAATAATATTCTTCACTTCTTTAAATATTGAGCCACGTGTTATTTGAATACTTTTTCCTTGTTATCTATGTTTCAACAAGTAGTTATATATGCGGATTATTTGGATTTTCCCGCATCATTATCTAATAAAATTCCCGATTCCATTAAGATTTGTCACATCACTATTTAAAATAAATAGAATTCTACAAATAGCATATATGTTGGAATAACCTTTAACTTTGGAGCATTTCTACCAAACTGACATTGATGATCTTAAAACAAACCCAACTCCAAAACCTTATAAAAAAAGTCCAAAACACTTAATAGGACATCGAGGTAATTTAATAATTAAAATTAAATTCAATAAGGCCTGCTGTTATTTTTTGAGTTTGTTTATATAAATTAAATGGTGTAGGATTTATTTATAGTTTTAGTGCTAAGAATGGGTATATGACTTACAAGCATAGTATACTAGGACACGCGTCGTGAAATTGTGACTAGCCATTGTTGAATCAAATAGCATTATTATTTTCAACGTTTGGTGATGTAGTTTGCCAAATTGCCAAGACAGCTTTTATCATTCGGTGCTTTGCTTTGCTAGGGCTTTTTCTTAAGACACGTGTTCATCTTTTGCTCTGCCAATGAAAAGCAATTAAGTTGGTAATTGGTTGTGTTTTCTACAAAACTGACATTGGTGATCTTAAAACAAACCCAACTTCAAAACCTTATAAAAAAAAGTCCAAAACACTTAATAGGACATCGAGGTAATTTAATAATTAAAATTAAATTCAATAGGGCCCGCTGTTATTTTTTGAGTTTGTTTATATAAATTAAATGGTGTAGGATTTATTTATAGTTTTAGTGCTAAGAATGGGTATATGACTAAATATCTCTTTATTACAAGCATAGTATACTAGGACACGCGTCGTGAAATTGTGACTAGCCATTGTTGAATCAAATAGCATTATTATTTTCAACGTTTGGTGATGTAGTTTGCCAAATTGCCAAGACAGCTTTTATCATTCGGTGCTTTGCTTTGCTAGGGCTTTTTCTTAAGACACGTGTTCATCTTTTGCTCTGCCAATGAAAAGCAATTAAGTTGGTAATTGGTTGTGTCTTATAATTCAAGCTATGCTCTAATTAATAGATTTGATGGATGGCATAACCTACCAAACCAAACCAAATTGTGCTTTTTCTGAATGAATAGAAATACAAAAAGGCAAGGACAATTTTCAAAAAGAAAAACGTGTAACTAACTTGGAATTGATCCGTGAAAGAGACCACTCAACATTTTACATCCAAACGTTGGGTTTCAAATCAACAATCACAAAACACATGGCAGAATAAACAGTAGGGGTTCTTAGATTTAGGTCTAAAACGATTAGCTGTTATTGGGTCTAGTTCTCGTGTTTTTGGTTTTAGATGTAGGTCCTTTAATATTTATTACTTTTTTGTTGTGTCGATTTTACCCTTTAAGGTAAATAAGGAAAACACATGGAAATTCTAAATTTTGAATTTTGAACTTTTTTTTTCCTTGATAATATTCCTAATATATAGATAAAATACAATTTAATCAATAAAAAGTAAAGACTCACATATTATACCAATCGATCAGACAAGCACCCACATTAAATTATGTACATGACATGCAGGTAAATAATGTTAATACATACAGGTATATATGTACTTGCCTTATATGTATATATGTACCTGCCTTACAGGTAAGTGTTTTTTTCTTGAATTTTCTTAAGCAGTTTTTTCTGGAGGTTCATATTTATATGCATACGTACATGTCTTCCATGGATTTTTATCTCAGTTGAGTTTAAAGATCCATATCAAGATATTATATGAGTTCAATTAGCTGGGCTAGAGGGTATAACTACCTAGACTAGATGTAATTTATGGATTTAATTAGGATGTCGATATACCTTGGGAAAATTTCATAATTCAATAAATAGATTTGCAATTAAATTCAAATCAAATATGATAATTAATATCCTGCAAATCAATAACTTACCAGTTTTAGGAATTCATAATTTACCTTATTTATATTTTAGGTGCATAATTGGAACAAAAAATAACAAAATAAAAAAGAGTAAATATCTATAAATTGAAATATGCATGTAATCTTATGCGGCGCAAAAGTCAAAGGACTCAAAGTTTGCGTGGATTGCACTCAAAGTCTCTCCTCATAATTGGACTTATGCCAAATTTTGTTCTAGGAAGGAACATAAAAAGAACCAACAACGGCACGCACCCGCTTCACAGCATCGGTTCGAGAGTCGTGAGAGGACTCGAGCACTGCTCCACGGAACTTGAGTGGGTTATATTTCTACATCTTGAAAAATTAAGTGTCAATAATTTTTCGTATCAAACAAAAAATGGGTTTTCAAATTTCCCAATTTATGCATGTATGAAAGCGATGTTTTACTTTGCGAAAACAATGGTGTCCGTCGGGTACAATTGATGGAAACTCAATGGACATGCTGTAATGCAAAAAATGGGGCCACGAAATTGATGATCATCGAAGTCAATAAAATGAAAGCATTTTGGCCACGCTTGTATGTATATAAACAGCCAACACAGTTAGACAAGCATAAAAGCTAGAATCCTGACTGCCGACACATAAATGTGAATGTGATCACAG